TTTACGAAGAAAAGAAATCACTCTTTGTAGCAGAGAGAATAAGACTATCAAAGTAACCACACCCACTGCCCCACCCCTTTTTACATGACACTAATACATGTACATGTACTTATAAATGTACACGTGCATACTAGTTGATTTTATTTACACTAGCTTAGTCAGAGATCCTTAAAACTATAAATTAAATATACATGTACATGTACATGTATATTTTGTATTGTATAGCTAGAATCTATTGTGGCCCAAAATTATTGTAAATTTTGCAATTTATTAAAAATTTTTGAAAACATTCAATACGGTTGAATGCAGGTTGCCAAAACGCAGAAAAATTGTGACAATTAAACCACAAAATGGATTGCTGGATGAAATTTTTGGGCCATGAAAATTTCTTGCTATGTTGTATACATGGTATATGTCATTTCCTCCTGTCTCCTCCTCTCATTACAGGATTGGTATTACTGAAGACGAGCCTCTCCCGATATTCGTGTGTACGATGACCTTTCCAGCCATGACCTGCCCTTTACACATCTTTGAACCAAAGTACAGACTCATGATGAGACGCTGCATTGAGACCAACAGTCGGAGGTTCGGGATGTGTGTCCCTTTAGACAGAGAATGGTGAGTTATGATAAGATGGAGTCATGTAGTTATAATAGGAGGGAATATTGTATAGAAGAAAATTTTAGAGGTGGTTTAATTTGGCGAATTTGTCATTTTGATAGCCATTCGCTAAAAGAAAAATCCTCCATTTTGAGCCATTATACACATGCTCAATGGCACGTGGCCACAAGTTCGCCAAATTAAAATTTGCCAATCACCAAAGTTTAGCAATTCGCTAAATTTAACTCCCTCCAAAATTTCCCACTATAAGGTATTTCTTTTAAAGAGTAATATTTGGCTTTAATTCCATTAATTAGAATAAAGCCACAGTATTTTTCTGTTTTTGTTTTTTTACAGATAATTCTCATTGTTTCATAATTGTTATATCATTATTGTAATTGTTGCATGAAATACACTGGAGGAATTTTAATTAAACTATTTATGAATTATTTGTTGAATTAAATCACCAAAAAATTGGCCAAATTATGAAACAATTTTAAATATCACCAACAACTATAATTATTTTATTAAATTTTACTATTATTAATTATTATTAAATACTATTAATTTTTATAATTATTTTATTAATTTATAATTATTATTATTTTGTAGTAATACCTATGTTGATTACGGTACAGTGTTATTCATCAGTTCATTGGAGTACACTCCTGATGGGCGGAGTCTCGTTACTACAGTGGGAGAGAGAAGGTTTAGGGTAATAGAGAGGAGCACTAGGGATGGGTACGCTGTTGCTAGGATACAGTTCCTTAGCGACGAGGTGGACCCAGATCAAGGTGAGATAATATAAATCTTTTAATTGATTATTATTTTGAGATTATTCCTATAATTTTTTCACCATCTTTCATGCCATTATTTTCAGAAATACCCAAGGCTATAGTCCATGGTTTTTTCCAAAAAATGGCTCCGAAGTCATCCCAAATTTTTATTACATTTTCTGATACATATTGATGTCCTTATGCTGTGTAGAAAGTTTGAGCTAATTCCGACTTCAATTTTTCAAGTTACGGCCATTTTAAGAAAACGCTAAAATTCTGAAAAATACCCAAGACTATAGTCCATGGTTTTTTCCAAAAAATGGGTCCGAAATCACCCCAAATTTTTATTACATTTTCTGATACATATTGATGTCCTTATGCTGTGTAGAAAGTGTGAGCTGATTCCAACATTAATTTTTCAAGTTACGAGTATTTTAAGAAAGTGCCAAAAATCTGAAAAATACCCAAGGCTATAGCCCATAGTTTTTTCCAAAAAATGGTTCCGAAATTACCCCAAATTTTTATTACATTTTTTGATGCATATTGATGTCCTTATGCTGTGCAGAAAGTTTGAGGCGATTCTGGCATAAATTTTTCAAGTTATGATTATTTTAAAATAAATTAAATATTCTTATAATAACAACAATAATAATAAGAGGAGGGGAAGAAAGAGGGAGAGAAGAGAAGAAAGGACAGAAGGGAAAAGAAGAAAATAAATAAATAAGACACAACTAAAGGAACAAAATAAGCATAAAAATAACAATAATAACAACTAGACCATGAATATGTTATGTCTTATGTGCCATAAAGGGGTTCGAAGGTGGATGGTAGTGTATCTTGAACCATAAGAGCATTTCCTCTCTGAACTGCCACCGATAGTCGTTGGAGGAGAAATGAGTGTGCCCTCTTGTCATGTGAGCTATTACATAACCGGCGTCCAATCTCCTTAATAATCTTGTGAGTTAGAGGACCTAGTGCACCCAGGGACTCAATGGCAATAGGGGAGAACAAATAGGAAG